GGAGGAAAAAAGAGCACTTCAGTCAGCAGCATACACCCATGAATATGTGTGTGTGGGGGAAGACTTCAATAATTAAAGCAAAATTATGTATGACATAGCTTTTAATGGAATCATTTTACAATTTCAGGAAGACTGGCAACATTATGACAAATGATGGCAAAAAGACAACCACCATTTCTTCAGGTGAAAACTGGATAAACTGTTTCCTACTCCAATGTCACTCTAGAGACTAAGGTGCACCTGATACAGGCCATGGTCTTTGCAATCACTTGCTATGCATCAGCGTGCTGGACAATGACTAGGGATGATAGGAGAACTGATGCCTTTGAGCTGTGGTGCTGAAGGAGAGTGTTGAATTTATACCATGGAGTGCTAAGAGAACAAATAGGTTCATCCTGGAGAGGGTGAGACGAGGCTGTTCCTTGGATACAAGAATTCTGAAGCTTTGTCTGACGTACTTTGGACATGTTCCAAGGAAGGACCAGTCCTTCAAGAGGGATGTCATGCTTTGGAGGGTGGAGCAACAACACAGGAGAGGAAGATCTCAATGAGAGGCACTGACTCAATGACTGGGGTATTGGGGGTAGGTATGTCAGAGTCAGTGAGATTGGCACAGGATAGAGCAGGCTTTAGGGCTGTTGTACATAGGGTCACTATGAGTTGCAGGTGTCTTGACAGGACATAACAACAATAACAACTCAAATTTATCTTTCAAGATAAGGAGTTGGTAAACTTTTTCTGTAAAGGAACAAACCGTAAATACTTTGGGTCTGGCAGGCCATGTATCATAACTAAAAGTAGCCACAGAACATAAATGAGTAGCTATTCCAATAAATCATTATTTTTTTAAAAAAAAGTAGTGAGTCATGGTTTGCTGACCCATTCTATTGTCTTAAGCTGGTTTCACATTGATTTAGATTCATGTTGACAGCAGAATTGCACTTCATAAAGTATTTAAGGCTATGATTTATCAAAAGTAGATGACAGACCTGTCTTCTGAGGCATTTCTGGGTTAATATGAACTGCCAACCTTTCAGCTAGCATTAGAAAGCTTAACTATTTATTTACTCCAGTAAGGGACTCCTGTTTCTGTTTCAGAGGATCTTAAAATTAGGCACTCTGAAAGTGAGATAATCTAAGAGTTATAGATAAAACAATAAAAGGCAGTGTGTTAAAATAAAATGCCTAAAGAAAAACATTTTTATGTTGTTGTATGCCATCAAGTAAAAACAAATTCATAGCTGACCCTCCTGGGTGTTTTCAGAGACTTTATATTGCACAGAGGAGATCTGTCCATCTTTCTCTTACACAGCTGCTGGTGGATTTGAATCAGATTGACTTAAGGTTGGCAATGTAATGCTTACCACTGGCCACCACAGCTCAAATATTTAACAGTTTAAAAGGTGTAAACAATAGCACTTCCAAGCCTGTATCTTTACCTATGATTAATCTTCCAATTATAATAAGCATTATTATATATAAATTATTACAAAAGCATGAGCTTTTTTATAATGTATTATAAATCTGAGCACAACCTAACAGGGCACTCGGTTGAGCAATTCAGCTCGAATTAGGATTCTCAAAGCAGTGCTTATTATCCCTACTTAAGCTCCAAATATTAAGTACAGGGTTGTGATATCTTTATGGAAATAAATGATTAATAAACTTAGGCAACATGAAAATGTTTGCATGAAACAATGTGAATTAAGACTAGTGTGAAACACAATGTATACAAACTTTGTAAGCAGACCAATAAAAAACCCCAAAACATAGAGTATTCTAGATAAAGGAAAAGGCTATATAAAACTTTTTACAATTAAAAACATAATAAATGTAAACAATGCCATTCAATTGTACACTCAAAATGGTTAAAATGGCAAATTCTTTTATTATGTATCTTTTACCACACAAAAAGAAAAGAGTAGAAAACTAAAACTAAAATAAATTAAAAAAACTTGGACAAAATGGCTACATTTAAGAACTAGATTGTAAATCCAAAGATAGGGTGGTTGTTGTATAGCTTCAAAAAAGAACCGACATACAGCTGACTCTCCAGGAAGTTTTCAAAGACAGTTAATTGCATGGGAGGAGAATGCCCATCTTTCTGCTGCTAAGCGGCTGGCAGATTTGAACAGTGTATATCTGGGCTGCCAGCACAGCTCCTTACCATTAGGCCACCAGGGCTCCCAAAAGATAGAGTTGTAATCCCCTTTACCAAGTCCTTCAGTGAATCTGTCATGTTAGAAATTACAAGTTCAAAGAACAGCTTCATTTCTGCCAGGGCTTTTCCCACCTTTAAAAAAATTTTTTAAGATAAGTATATTGAAGCTATTTGTTTATAGTATTTTAGCTGTTAACTAAAAATTTTGAGCACTCTTCTCCCCATAAAGTTAACCTAAAAATAAAAGAACAAAGCCTAATCATGTTTAGTATTTGAATTTTTAAAAGAAAAGGTATTACTCTCAGTTAAATTGCAATATAAGTCTCTACTAGAAACTATTAGCCTGATACATTGTGATAATGAGAAGAAAATTAATGTTAGAATTTGAAATTACAAATTATTACTATTTTGAAAAAAAATTAAGAGTAGACAGACTTCAGAAAGCACAGTCTCAAGAAAATACATGACCCACAGTCATGAAAAAGTTCTGCCATTTATCATTCCCCTTCTTGAAAACATACTAAGAAATAAAGTTGTAAACATAGTTGGTTTTTAAAGTACTGACTTTATTAATAAATATGCATCCATATGATGATGTAAATACAAATCATGAACACTACTCCATTCCATACACATAATTGCACACGAGTAGCTCAAGTTCATGGACAGAAAAACATACACAGTATTTATTCAGACTTTTTACAGCAGAGGACAGCGTGCGTATATCAGTTAATTTGTAATTATTTTCTCCATAATTATCTGTGGGAAAAAGGATACTGTGAAAACGTAAAAGAATCAGAGTGGTGTTATTACAAAAATCGCACACTGTATTTATCATAGTATTAAAGTTTCCAAAAATTAAATACATTATATATGTGAAAGTATGGATTTATCTACTTGAGGTGGAGGTGGGGTTAGAGTGGAGGTAAAGAGAAGAAAGGCAAAGGAAAGATTTAGATACATCCTAGAGTTTAATAGCATATAGTTAAAAAATAAAAAAAATAAAGTTTTCATATCCAAAGAAAAGTATGGTTTGGATAACTGCTATGAATCCTTATTTTTTAATATTAAGGGATCATAAACTTTTACTGCATATAGAGAAAATGACTTAGAGAACAGCAGTTATCAATATCCTCTGAACTGCTCTTTTAAAGCTTCTTATTATAAAAGAAAAATTTTTATTTTGTTCTCTTTAGCTATATACTGTGATTATTCTTACACTGGATGGATCACTAGACCTAATAAAATGATCACAATTTTTTCCCCTCATTTACACGAAGAAACTATTCTTACTCCATGAAAATGTGCATAAAAATTCACACAAACATCAGCTTGAAATTAATTTGATAGGTGTTTCTTTTAAAAGTAAATAAAAAATATAAAGACTTTCTTGTGTAACTAAAGCATTGACTTTAAGAATGTCTCTAAACATTAAAATTTAACCAGGCAGTATTTATTTTCCTTCAATACCTTGTACCTGTATTTTTTTAAATCCAGTGCAAAACTCCAAAGATAGTATCAAAATCATCCCTTACTAAAGATTAGTTATGCAAAGTTATATCTGTCAAAAAATGAAAATTTCTTTGTATTAGCTCCTTGTTACTATAAATAATAAATAAGGCATGTAAAAAATTTTTTTGAAGAAAAAAGTAAAACAAACTTACTTGAATAGGAGATCATTTTCTGAACAACAGTTTTAATATAGAATAGTGAAACCTATTTTGTGAAGAACAGAATTACACAGTATAAAATTAGTTTATTTTTCAAGGAATAATCATACAGTAGGGAGAAAAGGTCAGTTTCCCCCCAAATGATTTATATTAAAGTATAGGCAATCATTTAACATGCTATTTCAGTGTTCATCATGACAAGAGACAGTGTTACAAAAGATGCACAATGTAGTCTTTAGATTATACAGAAGGAAAAATATCCTACATTTTAAGACTTTATATAGGTTATTACTAGGTGTCTTTTCACTTCAGCATGGCACAGTAAACTGCCCACCAGAAGAAAAGTGGAATCAGAAGATGCTCACCAGTATATAGGCTGAATACTCCACATAACTCAAATAGTAAAGTTTCTAAAAGATGTTATCCATTCACAACTGCAGCCATCCCTCCCTTATTTCCCAGTGGTATAGTTCCTCATTGTTAGGAACATACCACTATTAGCTGATTTTACCATTTCATAAACATGTATACAAAATTCATTATACAATAATACACCTGCTTTATCTTCTGACACACAGCACAGCACCACTGATTAGATGGGCTGGAGGCTTTGGAGTGAGTGAATGAATACAGGAAATGAATACATGGAGCCCCATGTAACAAAATCAGGAATGCAAATAAACTGAAAAGGAACTGACAAATGAACTTACTATAAAATATACAACATGCAATCAAATCTTTGACAAGAGTATATATTATTCTAAGGTAGAATATTTAAGCAACTGTCTTCAGAAACTAGGGTTTGTTTTTTATTTAAAAAAAAAAAAAGATTTCCAAGTAGCCAACAACTGAGTATCATCTTGAGAAACAGCTAAATGGTTTATACATAATAAAAATGGACAGATATACATATGAATAAAGATGTAAGCATCTGTGTGTGTCAGAAGTTATACTGTTCTGAGTAAATTATTAAAAGTTTTATATTTTAAACTCTTATAGCAATTTAGCTGCCAGAATGTTATAGTTAATTATGTAGTCATCCAACATTGTTCTCTATGGTTTGTGTAATGCTAAAATTGTTGAGGTCACTGTCTTAGATGCCAGTGCACATAATCCCACATACAATGCACCACCTCTTACTGTAAAGAGCAGCATATAGTCCAGCTCAATGTGTCAGGCATCACTGGAACACCTGAAGGCTTGCTGCTTTTTTCCTGATAAAAAAGGTATGAAACATGACATCCATTTGCAATCAGAGTTTGCACTAACTGAGAGCAAGCCAAATAACATAATACACATCCTTTTAAATTTTAATTATTAAAAGTTTCTGGATCCTAAAAATCTTTATTATAATCTCAAAGCTAATTAAACTGCAAATACATACAGTAAAATTTTAAAATCCAAGGGAAATTTTTTCAAATCCAAAATGTACATAGTTTATTGAGAACAAACTCAGAATAAACAAAATATGTATAAGGAGGAATTATAATTTTTAGAAAAGGAGGAAAGATTTTTCCCTCTGTCCCTATTATGCATATTTACCCAATACTTTTTTTTCTCTCCTATTTTGCTTTTAAAGTAACTGTTGTTGAGAAAAAATTTCTTTTGGTTAAAGTGGTCACCGAAGGTCCACAGTAAGATTTTTAAATTAAATACTCAATATCTTTTCATCTTTATCCTGCACAGATGGATTTCTAGATATTTCTTAATACTTGGGTTCTGACAGGAAACTGCATTCTGTTTATACCAGTTTACAGTCTACCATTAAATTTATGTCCTTTGGTAGATATAAACTTAAAACAGTAAGTGCTAAATGCAATGGGAGTACTTCTCAGAAAAAAAAACCAAGACTATGCCAAAGAAATAGGCAATATAATGCTGTAAAACTCAATAAGCAAATGAAAGGCAAAATGAAATGGCTACAGCTATATGCAGGCAGACCTTAGGAATGTTTCTTTCATATTAAATATGTTATTCTAAGGATGTTCTCCATTTCACTGAAAAGGTAACATGCACGTGCCCATATAAAGTTCAATTATTTTTTGTAAATAAGGATTATTTGAAGTGTTTGGTATATATGCTCTTAAGAATTAAAAACATACAACATACACTACTGAAACATAAACAGATGGTTAAACCAATTAATGTCACATATATAAATAAATAAGAAAATGCTTAAACCTATGGCACTAAAAATAAGTGTTTTAACATCTAAAATTTATATAAATGACAATGTTATATGTGTATGTGCCCTGTCTCAGTCTCATGAACATAAATGCTAAAAAAGCTCAGTTATTACCTCCAATAATCAATTCGTTTGCTCCATCAGTTAAAAATAACTCTAGATACTATATTATACTGTTATTTGACAAACTAATAGAATGATTTCAAACAGTTATAATGGTTTCAGTTGTTTAGTATGTAAAGCATCTATTTAGAATGACCCAACAACTGATAAAACATGAGACACGACCATAACTCCAAAAAAAAGCAAAAAATTTAGTTAGGTATTACACTTGAACCTATGCCCAAATAACAGTGCCACTGCTCATGCCCTGAGTGCACCTGTCGGCATATGGCAGCTTCTAAGCAAAAGCAGAGGAGAAAAAAATCAAATGGGAACACACTTGGAAAGCTCAGGCCATAAAATTATGTATTAAAAATAAAACCAAAAAGCTTTGGGATTATTCACAATCTTCTTTCTAAACCTGGCCCTCTTTCCTGCTCACTCACTCATTGGGAGGCTTGACTTCACTGCTAGTTTCCCCTACCCCATGAACTACTCTGCCATGCATCATAGGGTAAGGAAAAGCAGCAGTGCCACAGCCATAACTGAGATCAGCAAGACGGGATAGAGCTTTAATGCTACCTGGAGGTCTCCCAGGGCTGACTTTGTATCCTGCAGCTTTAGTTGTACCCAAAGGTCTGCCTGGACTTGTCTTAAATCCAGCTGCTTTGGTGGTTCCCAGAGGTCTGCCTGTACTGGTCCGGTAGCCTGCTGATTTGGTGGTTCCTGAAGGCCGACCACGCTTACCAGATCGGTTAAGATTTTTCTTTTTCTTTAGTTCATCTTTTATTTCTAGGCTTCTGCCACTTGTAGTCTGCAAGTGTGTTTCATTTAGTGGATCTTGCCTCTGACAAGCCATTGGTTTGTGGCTGACTGTGTGGCTGTATTTGTTTTGCTGGGAAGAATATATGTCAAACTGATCAGCAGCTCTCATGGCATCTTCATTGAGGCAGGAAGGCTTGCCAGGCCCACAGAAAGCTGGATTACTGCTGGCAACAGGATGCATCATTTTCTACCAAAAATAAAAGACAAATATGAATAAATACATATACACAACTGTACATATTTATATGACCACGTTCAGTATGGAAAATAGTTTGTCTTCTAAAAATGGTGCAGGATATCTAAAATTAGGCTGACAGGCAAGACTTCAGACCACTTATAAACAAACACACAGTAACAGATTTAGATACTTGTTTTTTTTTAATTTAATCATAGGTGGGGATAAAAACTACACAAGACAACTATAATGCTGGTAAAGGAGCCACAATATTCTCTACTTTGGAAATGGGTAAGTAGAAAATAAATAGGTTATATTTGGTAGGCTTAGGTAATGACAAGAATTCTTAATTTTTGAATTCATGATTCTTTTTTAACCAATTTGCCTCAAGTTCTTAAGACTACTTCCCTTTGGCCTTTTATACCATTTCTCACATGTATACAATTTCTGACTTGACCGCAGACAAATTCCTCATAATTATTACAATTTATTACTTATACCTAACCCTGAGCATATGTTACATTTGGGGGGGAAAAAAAAAAAGGAATGTGCCAAGCAACAAATATAATCTTTGGTTCAAAGTACTGGCTTTATCCAAACAAAAGGTTTTATTCATTCAAAGGATTTTTTAAAAAAGAGAGATTCCTTTAGTTAAAATTAGTGAACATTTATACAGTTGAACTTACAATAAAAATACGGATAATAACCATCATGAATGAAGCACCTCCTATTTTGATGGTATGATTATTAAGACAAAGGTTTGAATGTGCAAACATTTGCTCCCTTGATCATAAATGCAGTATCTTTTTCATTTTCTTTACAAGAGTCCTATGACTTAATAATGAGCAGAACACCTCTGTAAAGTTTTTTCCCCTTGTTGTCCTTTATAAAAAATGTATTAAGACCACAACCATAACAAAGTCTAAATAGATTAGAGCTCATAGCTACTACAGCATAAAAGAGATAAAGATATAGGTTCCAAATAAGACATAGAAAATGAGTTACAAATGTATAAATTAATATCCAGTCCTAAATCATTAAATGTTCGCCTATATTCTTCACGTATATGAAATTGCATTAAGGTCTGTTATAAAAATAGGTATTTTTCAGAAGACAAAATGTAAAACAAAACAAAAACCCCACAATGTACATGAATAAAACACAATGTATAGGAATGTACAAAAATTAATTTCAAAAACTCCTATGAATAAAAAAAGAGAGACCATCAAGATGGCTTCAAATATAACATTGTTATCTAAAAGTTAACTATCTTAAAAAAAAAAATTGTCTGAACATTTTCTGTGTGCCAGGTAATAAGCTTGCTCTTTTTCACATAACCTGATTTAATCTTCACCACAATCCTATAAGGAACATGCTACTACATATTATTAGCACTACTATGATTCTCACCACTGGGCTAACTGGCAGCATCAGTATGGATAGTGAAGAGATTGAGATAGTTAACAGTTTTAGTTTACTTGGTTCCACAGTCAACACTCTTGGTAACAGCAGCCAGGAAATCAGGAGACGAATTGCACTGGGAAAGTCAGCTGTGAGGGACCTCTCAAGAGTACTGAAGAGCAACGACGTCAGGCTGGAGACTAAGGTGCACCTGATCCAGGCTACAGTCTTCACAATTGCGTGCTATCCATCGGACAGTTGGACGGTGAATAGGGATGACAGAAAGAGAATTGATGCCTTTGAGCTGTGGTGCTGGAGAAGAGTGTTGAATATACCATGGACTGCTAGGAGAACAAACAGGTTTGTTCTGGAGAGGGTGAAGCCAGAATGCTCCTTGGATTCAAGGATTCTGAAGCTTCGTCTGACATACTTTGGGCATGTTGACTGGTTCTTGGAGAGGGACATCATGTTTGGCAGAGTGGAGGGATGGCGCAGGAGAGGAAGACCCTCGATGAGATGGATCAATTCTGAGTGGAGTGGTGGGAGTGAGTGTGTTTGAGATGGTGAGGTTGGCACAAGATAGAATGGCATTTAGGGCTCTTGTACAAAGGGTCGCTATGAGTCACAAGCAACTTAATGGCACATAACAATAACATACAAAAACTGGGCATAGATTAAGCAACTTGACGGGAGCACACATTAGGAAGTAAATGGTAAAGCTGGGTATGAATTCAGGTGACTTCAGAACCAGCAACAATAGTATATCAGCAATATATATAGTATATGTATAGTTTCTCAGCAATATCTGAGCCAGGTAATTCTTTGTCGTGAGGGGCTACCCCCATACATTGTAGTATTTTAGCAGCATCTGGTCTCAGCAACATCCCACCTTCCCCACCTATGACAATAAAAAATAACTCCAGACACTGCCAAGCTTCCTTGGGTGAACATGTATCTACCTTCTCTTAAGTCCTATGGGAATCATTCAGTTAAACTAAAATGAAAACCCAAGGCTTAATTTTAAAACAGAAGAATTGATGCCTTTGAGTTGTAGTGCTGACATAGCTTTGTCTTTCATACTCAGGACATGTACCTAGGCAAGGCTATTCCTTGGAAAGGGACATCATGCTTGGAAAAAGGGAGGGTCAGCAAGGGAGAAGACCCCCAATGATATGGACTGACATGGTGATTTCAGCAAAAGGCTTCAGAGTTTTGGAGGTAGTAAGGACAGCACAGGATAGGGTAGGGTTAAGGTTGGCTGTTCACAGGGTCACTATGGGCAATACTTGACTTGTCAGCATCTAACAGCAACAATAATTTGAGTTTTTAATTCATCTTTTAGCTTCCTACTCTATCCAGAAAATCTTTCAGATGGTAACATGTTGTTATTAGCAGGGTGACCCATATAAAACAAGACCATTACAGGACTGCGAGTGGACTACATTTTTCTGCCAATAACAAGCACCATTCAGATTTTTGGTAGCCTCACAGGTTAGTTTCCTGTATATAAATTGTGTACAAGTGTTTTGCACATGCAGAATTAGTAATTACAACTCTCTTCTTCAAGTTATGAACTAACTGAGAAAATATATACAGGAATTAGTCAAAATATTAGTTTATTGTCAATAAAGTTGTACTAGAGGCCACAAGCATGTACATGTGGAAAAATATATGGGCAGAAAAGAAGAGAAAAAAGTAACCCCTTTTATAATCTTATTATCCAGAAATTATCTTCCTGAAAAGCTCTAATAAAGAGGTGGCTGCTGTTATGTGCCGTTAAAAGGTACAAATTCTCTTCCACAGGCAAGACTGCCTCCTAAAGAGAAGAAATGTTCCTTCCTAAAGTCTGTTTTAGTGCTTATCAAGAAGCTGTTGTCTAAATGGAATAAGGGAACAGTGCATGATTTATTTTCAGAAAAGGTGTGCATATGGGTTGTGTTCTTTCTCCTTTTCTATTCAATCTGTATGCTAAGCAAATCATTACAGAAGCTGGACTACATGAAAAAGAATGTGGCATCAGGATTAGAGGAAAACCCATCAACAACCCACATTCTGTAGATGACAATCTTGTGCGCAGAAAGTGAAGACCTGAAGAACTTACTGCAGACGATCAGACTACAGTCTTCAATATGGTTACATCTGTGGTGTTACAGGTGTATTGTTCAAAATTACTTCCTTAGCCATCAACTTTGACTTTCACCACACAACTGGGAGGAAACTTAAAACAGGATGTATAGAAAGTAAACATCATGGGATTGGGCAGCTTTTCCCATTTCACCAAATTAAGCTGAGCAAATTTAGTGGGAAGATGGGACTCTCATCACCAGCAAAGCAGCCGCAGGGAGTGCAGATCTTTCACAGGGGCAGAGATTCTCAAGCCAATTAGACCAGGATCTACACTATCCTTAGCCTCCAAAAAAAACTAGAGACCAACATGAGACAAAGCAGCCTTAGGACTACTGCCCCACTGAGCCAGTGCCAGGAACCTTCACCGAAGCCTACTAGAGAACTGATGGAAGCAGCAGTAACTGTCAGGACTACAGGAACACTGACCTAAAGGACAAAGGCCCTGAGTACACTTGAGAAGTCCAGATGGAAGAATTGTATCTTAACACCAAACAGCAATGTAACCTGTAAACTTTTCTAATAAAACTCATAATTCTGAGTATGGTTCTGAGTTCTCTGTGGTCACTGCAATGGATTTCAGACTCAGCAGAGCAGTAAGATTGGTATTGGTATTACAAGTAGATGCAGAAGTGTGAGAGCCCATGTCTGACTTTAAATGAACTGATTTTGTACTACCAATGTTGATGAGGATAGTTCCCCTCTGTGGGGTTAGAAGAGGTCAGATATGGCCTTCCCCATGCTGCCTACACTTTTTAGATTTCAACATTAAGAAAACAAAAATCTTCACCACTAGACCAATAGGTAACATCTTTGACAAATGGAGAAAAGACAAAGTTGTCAATAATTTCCTTTTACTTGATCCACAATCAACACCCATAGTAGCAGCAGTCAAGAAATCAAAGGATGTGTTGCATTAGGGAAATCTGCTGTCAAAGATCTCTCCAAAGTTCTAAATAGCTGTTGTTTAAAGAGTAAGATGCTCCTGACCCAAGGTCAAGCTGGAAAGTGAATAGGGGCGACAGAAGAATCAATGTCTTTGATTCACAGTTTTGGCAAAGAATATCAAATAGAATATGGACTGCTGAAAAGAACAAACAAATTTGTCTTGAAGGAAATGCAGAGTGCTCTTTAAAGGCAAGGACAGTGAAACTTCATCTCTTATGCTGGGCATATTTTCAAGAGGTTATGGTCCCTGGAGAGAAATTTCATGCTGAGAAAAGCAACGGGTCGGGAAAGAGAAGTAGATCCTCAATGAGATAGACTGACAAAGTTTCTATCAAAATGGGCTTGAGTATAACAGAAATTATTAAAATGGAGCAAGATAAGGCAAGACTCAGATCTGTTGTACACAGGGTTGGTATGAATCAAAAGCAACTTGATGGCACCTAACACAACATCACTAACTTACTAAAACCCTTTGGAACTTGTATTTTTCTTAATATATAAAAACATGCATAATCTATTAGCTTTTATATATGTAGTCTCAGCTTGCATTATATTAGATTTTTGAAATGAAGAAGCTGCCACAAATCCTTTACTCTGATACAAACTTACTTTAAAAAGCACATAGTATTTAAAATTAGGCTAGCTACTAAAAGCAAAAACAAGAAACTTGACACTTATCTCACAATTCCTTTAATCTCCAGGAATTTATCTACATGGTTTTTATTATAGGTTTATTTGCTTCTGACACTGCTCACAGTTTATTTAGGGCCAGCTGCATGCAAAACATTAAGCCCTGGGACATAAAATAGAAAAAAATACAACTACTTCAATTATTGCAATTGAAGACAGTGCAACACTCACTTAAAAACATCTCTAGAGGTGCAACCACTGTGGAAGGCTGTATGGCGCTTTCTCAAAAAGTTGCAAATAGATATACCGTTTGACCCAGCAATTCCACTACTGGGAATATATCCCAAAGAGACCATAACTGACATCCACGCAGCTATATGCACACCCATGTTTATTGCAGCTCTGTTCATAATAGCAAGGAGTTGGAAACAACGCAGGCGCCCATCAACAAATGAATGGACAGAGAAGCTGTGGTATATTCACACAAGGGAATACTAAGCTCCATTGAAAAACAAGGAACTCATGCAATATTATTCAAAATGGGTGAGCCTGGAGGACATTATGCTGAGTGAAATATCTCAGATGCAAAAGGACAAATATTGTATGGTGCCACTGTTGTAAAATGGGACTGATATCAGGGTTGGGGTAAGACTGAGAAAAACTGGATGAATTGTGTATATTGCACTGAAACAGATGAGTGAATAATTTAAAAGCGATGTATGATAGGGTCTTATGGTTATCACAGGAGTCCACAATTAAGGTTACATAGTGGAATGTACTTGGGGCGATGGTGCAGGGAGATTGTGTACCAGGGAAGGAGTGTTTCTTTTACTTTTGAAAGAGAGGAGCGAACTGGGGGGAGGGGGAGGGATGGGCGCGGAGAGAAGTGCAGCAATGAATGAATGGAAATCCAAAATCTCTGTAAATGCTCATTAAAATTATTTTTAAAAAACAAATATCACATAAGACTGCTACTATGAAAATAGGAGGATGCACACCCATGTTTATTGCAGCTTAGTTCACAATAGCAAGGAGTTGGAAACAACCTAAGTGCCCATCAACAAACGAATGGATAGAGAAGCTGTGGTATATTCACACAATGGAATACTATGCTGCATTGAAAAACAAGGAACTCATGCAATATTATTCAAAATGGTTGACTCTGGAGAACATTATGCTGAGCGAAATGTCTCAGTCACAAAAGGACAAATATTGCATGGTGCCACTGTTGTCAAAGAGGACTGACCTTGGGGTTGGGGACAGACTAAGACGGGTTCAATAATGTATACTGCACTGAAACAGAAGAGGGAGAAAACGGTTTAAAAGAGATATGAGATTAGGTATTTCTGTCACGACAGGAGTCTAGAGTGACTGTTACACGGTGAAGTGGACCTGGGGGAAGGTTTGTAAAACAATGAAAAAATTTTTCTTTTACTTTTCCAAGAGGATAGTGTTCTGTGGGGAGGCTTGGGAGGAGAGAAATGTGTAACAATGAATGAATGAAAATCCAAAGCCTCTGTAAATTTTTACCGAAATTAACAATAAATTTAAATTTTAAAAAAAACAACACCACATCTCTAGTTTCCTACAATTCTACATTCTACAATTCTTCCTTGCTATTGCCATGTAGTATCCCATTAACCAATTAATAAACTGGACAAAGGATTTGTTATGGCAACAGCCATGTAAATAAAACACTAAAGTTCATTTTTCCCACTCTGAAATAATGAATATCAACACCATTAGCACCTGTTTGTGTTGACTGTCATAAACCAGTGTCCCCACTTTTTCAAAATATCTACATTAGTAACTGTAGTCATAAATCAAAAGAAATATAAAAAGAATTTTTGCTTTTTATGAAAAACTAGTATCATTTGCTTTTAAAAAAATTAATAATTTACTGATTTGAAAGTAGGTTTACAAATCATTGTTTTTCATAGAATCATTTATGCACGTATTTTTGTGTTTCAATTTGAGAAAGATTACAAATCATATTGGTTTCTCAGTCAGCCACATGCATTTTATTTTATATTATTTACAAGTGATTAATAAAATTATGTCTGAACAATCCCTTATTACATACTGTCTTTCCTCTCTCACAATTTATCTATTCATTCACCCTCCTTTCCTTCCCATCTCTTATAACCATTCACAAATTTCCAGAGGCAGTGGGCACTTCAAGAAGTGAGAAGAGAGTTACTAAGCTCCTTCTCTGAAATTACAACGAGTATCTCAGCACCAACCAGTTTTAACTTTTAAGTATGTCTGTGACTATTACAAGTTAGTGTGATTTTACATTTTATATGTTGTTTCGTTTATTATTTTTTGGGTTAGAACGCTCAAAAAAATTTCCCATATAAATTTAATGGTAATCATTTCTTTGTTTCATGCCATTTCATCTTACTAAAGGCTTCATGGGAACAGTCTATGTTCAGATAAAGGGGTATAACCTATACTCAGGTGATGAAGATATAGATTTCCAGTTATATGCAATAATTGCATGTAGTTGTTGATTGCCTTTGAGTAAAACACAACTCAAAGAGCCCCTATCAACTAAAGGCTTGAAGCCCCTCTAGAACTATGGATATTTATCAGAGTTCACAGAGTTTCTGGAGGCATGCTATACAGGAAGTAGATGCCGCTCTTGCTTCCAAAATATTTATTGCTTGGGTAAAATTAATGTTTAAAATCCTTGGAGGCAAAGATTCTGAAGCTTCGTCTGACATACTTCAGACATGTAGCAAAGAAGGACCAGTCCTTGGAGAAGGATGTCATGCTTGGGAGGGTGGAGGAACAGCGAAGGAGAGGAAGACCCGCTATGAAGTGGATTGATTCAGTGACTGGGGTAATGGGGGTAGGAGTGTTGGAGACAGTGCAATTGGCACAGGCAGAGCAGGGTTTAGGGCTGTTGTACACAGGGTCACTATGAGTCACAGACGACTCGATGGCACTTAACAATAACAACATTTGCATAAACAAGTATTAATTTTACCCAAGCAATAATTCCTCCCTTCTCCCAATTCAGGGCTTGGTAGCTAAACCATATTCTTGAGAGTTTCTGTACTACAGATTTTATTAACAGTATGAAGGCCATATTTTATTGAGAAGAATTAGAATGAATACTACAAGTCTGTAAAGTTTAGACTGAATGGACTCAATAGTTAAACAGTGAACTTTGAAAGACTAATCACCTTTCAAGTTGATTCAGTGAATGTAAAGACTAAATTAGAATTGCTAAAACCTGTCATCCTTGAAGTTATCTCATAAATCTTCTTTATGGAAAAATTTCTTTCCTTTTTCGTGAATGTGACAGTGAGGTCCGAACTGTACAGTTCGGACTGTACAGTGTCAGTCACTCCACGAAGGATTCAAAAAGTTTTGTAAACGTGAAGAAAACCTGCCGTTCAAGAAACTCAAGTTCTCTTCTTCCCAAGATCAAACATCACATTAACTCTTAGAGCTTTATTTCAGGTCATTTGGCTACCAATTAAATATAATCCTATGCAATATTATAATTATAAAGGGTTTGTCCATTTGAGACCCACCTCCATCACTGAGCGTCTATTCAGCAAAGACTAAAGCAAATACCAGTAGCTCTGCACCCTGGCCCAGAGCGGAAAGTTTTTATATTAGGGGAGAAAAGAAATAACGGCCTTCTTTGTCTTCTATCTACTCTTTAATTGTGCCCCACGGCGCAGTTTCCCGGGTGCCAGAATCCTTTTGACAGAAGGCGTTTAAAAATGTATTACCTGTCGTGCCTGAAAGCAAATTTCAATTTTGTCAGCATTAACAAGTTTGCAGGAGACACAAGTCCCAAACTACAGAAAGGCTCAAAGCTTCCTCTAAAATTCCAAATCCACGGCCGTCCATCTACTCCGGGTTCCGCAAGCTGCTGAAGTCCACCGGCCACACCACCTAGCCACCAGGCTGGAAGCCGACACGCTTGAACTCAGAGAGCGAAGGCAGACAGCAATTCTGACCTCGTGAAGAAAAGAAAGGGTGACCCCTCCCCCGCCGGAGGAGGAATTCCCCCCTCGTAATGGCTCCTCGCCCAAGGAAGGGCAGCCACGTCCGGGCCCCTCCTCACGCTCCCGGCTAGGCCCCTCTACGGGCACGGGTCGGAGACCTCTTCTCACAGCTGGCTAGGCCCCCATGCGCGCCGCAGCCCTGTCCCCTCCGCCAGCGCCGGCCGCCCCGACTTCGCTCCCGGCCGGGCTGACAAGCCCGCGCGCGCCCACCTACCTCAGCCGCTAGTAGCCCGGCCCCTCAGCGCGTCCAGGGGCTTCCCATCGGCTGGGAACCACCCTCTGGTGCCGCTCTCTCCCAGCCCCGCCTCAGGACGGCGGGGAGAGGAATCCACTGCAGAGGGGCAGGTAGCGACGGTGGCGGCAATGGAATTTTATGCCGGCTGCGAGCTCTAGTGCTGGCGACAGCTCGAGGTCCAGCACAGGACCCAGAGGCGGAGGCCACCACGGCTCCGCACGGCAGGCGGCGTGCGCGTGCTCGCGGGGGCCGCGCACGCACGGCACGCATCGCGAGACCGGTCCTCGGCCGACGACGGCACGCGAGTTTGGGAAGGCACTTCTGGCATCCAAGTTGCGCTTGCGCGTCGTGGGAATGCGCCTGGAGGTAGGTGGGGCTACTACCGCTGCCGCTGTGTGTTTGATGCAGCTGGGTAGGAAGCATCTACTGAATCAGTAATCTGTTAACCGACTATGAGTCGGTTCCTACTCGACGGCACACAACAACAACAAGTTAACTCATTTTCTCTCTTGTTCAGCGGTGTGGGAACTACTGTTGACCCCATTTTTTTTATTACAGAACTAATAAAGTCAAGATTTGAACCCAGCAGTATTTTAGAAATGGCTTTTAATTTCTCTGGTATGTTGTTGTTTTGTGCTGTCGAGTCGCCTGCGAATCATAGCCTTCCTACGCACGATAGCTCCCCATCCTGAGCCAAGTTCACTGTCTCCAACACACCCATCCCCATTACCCCAGTTACTGTGTCAATCCATCTCACCTAAGGTCTTCCTGTCTCGCACTGCCCCTCCACCTTTCCAATTACAATGTCCTTCTTCATGCAAGGGCTGATCCCTCCAAGCAACATGTCCAAAGTATGTGAGACAGAACTTCAATATCCTTGCCTCTAAGGAGCAATTTGGCTTCGTCCTCTCTAGGATAAACCTATTGGTTCTCTTGGGAGTCCAAGTATTGGCAATTCAGTCTCTTCTCCAGCACTACAACTCAAATGCATGGACACTTCTTCAGACATCCTTAGTTATTGTCTGGCTCTCTGATGTGTAGCAAGTAATTGCGAAGATCATGGCCTGGGTCGGTCAGGCACAACCATAGTCTCTAATTGCTCTTTTGCACTCTGGAGCAGTCCCTGACAGCAGATTTTCCCAATACAATTCAACTTTGTAAATTGTTTCTTCCAGTTCATCTTCTGATTTTCTGACAGCTGGTGCCAAGACTGTTGATTATGGAGCCAAGCAAACTGAAATTATAAACAATTTTAATCTCCTCTCCATCTTTCATGGTGTTGCCAATTGGCCCAGTGGTAAGAATCTTTGTTTTCTTGATGTTGAGCTTCAATCCATATTGAAGTCTTCAGTCCTTGACCTTCTGCAACAAACACTCCAGGCCTTCCTCAGTTTCAGCAAATAGGGTTGCGTCAACTGCAAATGCAAGTTGTTAATATGAGTCTTCTTCCAATTCTGATGCCACATTTTTTCTCATAGAGTCCTGCCTCCTGAATGATCTGTTCTGCATACTGATTAAAAAGGTATAGACAGGACACATCATTGATGCACTCCTTTCCCAATTTTGAACCATGCAGTGTTTCCTTGCTCTGTTCTGATGACTACTTCCTGGTCTAAGTATAGGTTTCACATGAGCACAATCAGGTGTTCTGGGATTCCCATTCTTCTGAAGGTTAGCCACAATTTGTTGTGATCCACACAGTCAAATGCCTTTGCACAGTCAATGAAACAAATAGACACTTGCCTGATACTCCTTGCTTTCAGCAAAGCATTTTCATCTGACATTAGTTATGAGGTCCCTAGTGCCACAGTCTTGTCTAAACCCAGCTTGTATTTCTGTTAGGTCTCTGTCAGTGTACTGTTCCAATCATTTTTTAGTCATTGTCCTAGGTGATGCTCAAACCATCTTAAAGAAATTCAGACTCCATAATCGAATAGCTTATATATAGATACGGTGCCACCTTGAGGCCTAGGGTCATGCAATAATGAAAAGCCACCATTTTTTAAGAGCCTTACCATTTTAAAAAAGTTTTCTCCTGCATAACCTCCATAGAATCACCATATTCTTTATTTTACCATCACAGGAAGGGATGAGACAAAAATGTTTGACTTACAGATTCTTTTCTGCGTACTTACTGGGTAAGATTTCTGACATCTTGATTACTACATACAAGTCCTCTTAGCGAAGGAATTCATTTGCCAACCCTACCTACATGTCTTCAGATTTATTGGTATAACCTGATGAGCACTTCCAGAGCTGCATCTGTTTGTTGAAATATGTCAGTTGATATTCCATCAATTTCTGTGGCCTTGTTTTTTGCCAGTTCCTTTAGAGCAGCTTGAACTTCCTCCATCGTCACGATCACCTCTTGCCTAAGTTGTTTCATGAAATACTTCTGTGTCAGCCAGGTCTTTTTGGTACAATGACTTTGTATACTCCTTCCATCTTCTTTTGGAGCTTCCTGGATCATTCATTATTCTACCCACAGCATCGTTAATATTGCAACTCAAAGCCTGAATTTGTTCTTTAGTTCCTTCACCTTAAGAAATGCTGAGCTGGTTCGACACTTTAAATTTTCTGATTCTAGCTCTTTGCACATTTCATTACAATACTTTGCTCTGTCTTGCCATGCTGCTCTTTGTAATCTTCTATTCAGCTCCTTCACTCCTTGATTTTTTTTTTTCCTTTGCTTTGGCTTCTTGGCACTCTAGTGCAATATTTAGAGTCTCTTCCAACATCCATCTCAAGTCTTTTCTTCCTCCTCAGACTCTGTAATGACCTTTTGCATTCTTCATAATATTCTTAATATTCACCCACAGTTCATCTGGCCTTCACTCATTAGTGTTCAAAGCCTCAAATCTGTTCCTGAGATGGTTTTTTTTCATTCAAGTGGGATAGACTCAAGGTCAGTTTTTGGTGATTGTGCCTGCTCCTTGGAGTGAAGGGCTTTGAGACTCTGTCTCACATACTTTGGGCATGTAGCCAGAAGGGACAACTGTAGTCAACTTCTTTGAAAAAGGCTATCATGCTTGGAAGAGTTGAGGAACAGCACCGGAGAGGAAGGCACCAGATGAGATGGATTGACACAATAACTGAGATAATGAGGATAGGTGTGTTGGAGACAGACTGGCTCAGGATAGAGCAGCTTTCAGAGCTACTGTTCATAGGGTCACAATGAGTCACAAGCGACTCAACAGCACGTAACAACAATACCTAGATATTTTATAGAACTGCATTTCAAAATCTTCTCTTCATCTTTCTTCTCTTTGTTTTGGCCTCTCTAAATTTTACTTCAGGAGTCCAGGCTGGGTTTAGAAGGGGTCGTGGTACTAGGGATATTGTTGCTGATGTTAGATGGATCTTAGCTGAAAGCAGAGAATACCAGAAGAATGTCTATCTGTGCTTCATTGATTATGCAAAGGCGTTTGACTGTGTGGATCATAACAAACTGTGGCTTACTCTGAGAAGAATGGGAATCCCAGAACATTTAATCATGCTAATGCGAAACCTATACTTGGACCAAGAGGCAGTCGTCAGAACAGAGCAGGGCAACACTGCATGTTTCAAAATTGGGAAGGGTATATGCCAGGGATGTGTCCTATCTCCATACCTTTTCAGCCTGTATGCAGAGCAGATTATCTGAGAGGCTGGGCTCTATGAAGAGAAGCGTGGCGTTAGGATTGGTGAACGATCTATCTACAATCTGCGTTATGCAGATGACACAACCCTGCTCGCTGAAACTGAGGAGGATCTCATGCACTTACTGCAGAGGGTCAAGGACTGCAGCCTTCAATATGGACTGAGGCTCAATGTCCAGAAGACAAAAATTCTCACCACTGGACCAATCTGTAGCATCAGGATGGATGGTGAAGAGATTGAGATTGTTCAGAGCTTCAGTTTGCTTGGCTCCACAGTCAGCACTCTTGGCACCAGTAGCCAGGAAATAAAAAAACGTATTGCGATGGGAAAGTCTGCAGTTAGGGACCTCTCTAAAGTACTCAAGAGCAACGGTGTCTCTCTGAAGACTAAGGTGCGCCTGATACAGACCATGGTTTTTGCAATCACTTGTTATGCATCAGAGAGTTGGACAATGACTAGGGAGGATAGAAGGAGAATTGACGCCTTTGAGCTGTGGTGCTGGAGAAGAGTACTGAATGTACCATGGACTGCCAAGAAAACAAATAGATTCATCCTAGAGAGGGTTAAACCAGGCTGCTCCTTGGAGGCAAGGATTCTGGGGCTTCACCTGACATACTTTGGACATGTTGTAAGGAGGGACGGGTCCTTGGAGAAGGACATCATGCTGGGCAGAGTGGAGGGACGGCGGCAGGAGGGGAAGACCCTCTATGAGGTGGATTGATTCAGTGACTGGGGTAATTGGGATGGGTATGTCGGAGGCAATGAGATTGGCACAGGACAGAGCAAGGTTCAGGGCTGTTGTACATAGGGTCGCTATGAGTCGCAAACGACTCGACGGCACATAACAACAACAACAAATTTTACTTCAAGTTTCAGTCTTTTCTGACATCTATTTTAGTCTTGTCTTTCTTCTTTGTCTCTATAATGACTTCTTGTGTTTTTTCATTGATAATATGCTTGATGTTATTCCACACTCATCTGGTCTCCTGTCACTAATGTTCATTTTAGCAACTCTATTCTTGACATGGTTTTGTAAGTTTAAAACACCGTATAGTTTAAAACCAAGAAGAATGTGCATCAGGATTGTATCCTTTCTACAGTCAATCTGTATGTTGGGCAAATCATTCAAGAAGCTGAACTCTGAATAAAAATGTAACCAACCTCAGGATTGGAGAAAGATTCATCAACAGCTAGCATTATGCAGATGACCCAACCCTGCCTGCAGAAAGTGAAGAGGAGAGGAAGGACCTGCTGAAAAGATAGTTCAGTGCTCAATATGAACTTCAACCTTCAATATGGATTACATGTCAGCATCAAGAAAACAAAAGTCTTCATCACTGGACCACAGACAACATCATGACAGATGGAGAAAAGACTGCAGTTGTCTATCAACAATTTTGTTTTACTTGGATTCATAATCATCACTCACAGTAGTATCAGTCATGAAAT